CCACTTGCTGTAGGACAAGGATGGAGTCTTGGACATGGGGTGGAGACATACAGAGTACCGGCTGACAACAGAGATTCTTTTCTGGTGCCCCCTTCCCTCTCACCTAGATCCTGCTCCATGATAGAAGCACAGATGCCAAGCACGGCAGCATCGGTATCCGCCTTACTAAGGCGAATAGGTCCCAACACCGCCTATCCACATTGTATGGGTGCAGGCAGGGTTTCTAGTATCGCAAACTCCCCAAAATGGAGAGATCAAGATGTCAGATACCACATCTCTGCCCAGAATCCCAGCTGTGCCCACCTGTCTACATTCTGCCTTTTTTCCCCAGCCCAGAGCAATGGCAACTCCAAAGACCTTGTGATTGGAGAAGATAAGGCTCTGACGATGCCCCCAGGTTCCTGCATTCAGGTCTCCTGTGTGGGCCTCTAGCTCTGCCCCTTGCAATGGAGCCACGATGGTCCCCGGGCAAAGCCCTCCTGGACCTATCTGCCAGCCCAGGCTGTCCACCATATCCCAGTGGCTGCTATGGCCCTCATAGTGGGTCTGTTCTGTGCCTTGATCCTAGCCCACCCTCATCCCAGTGTTCCCAGGCCCCAGGCCTGAGGCTTACAGCCACTAGACTTCATCCTCGACCACGGTTCTGAGGTAGTGCCACTCACACACCATCTCCCCTCCATTGACCACCTGCATCTGGCCTCAAGGTCCCAAGTTGCTGTCTTTACTTTGACTTCCTTCAAAAAGAAGGTTTTGTGAGAACCCTGCTTACAGGAGAAAACGCCTCTCTTAATTAAAAAAAAAAAAAGACACTGCTTCAGCAAGAAAGGTAGCTGGCCACAGACAGTTTTCTACCACATACCACTCAAGAGATGGGTAGGGCCACACTCAGGGATGGGGTCTCAGTCCTCATGGTGGCATTGTGGTGGCATCAGGATGACACATATCTGTGCTGATGGTAAAAGGGGAACTTGAATCATTTGCAGGAACAGCTAAAATAAGACAGAAGCAGGCCTCACCCCACTCACAGACATTATCAACCCTGGTGCCCACCCAGGACATCCCTGAGAAATGGTTTTGTTGCCTATATTTGTGTGAAAGGAGGGGAAGCCCCACAGCGAATGATTGGTTTGTTTTTTCATCTCTTTCCTTGATGGTTTTGTAAGTTGGACCAACTCTCATGTAGATGCACAGGCTCACATGTACTCAGCACTGCCCTGTACAGGTTGTGGAATGGTTCACCTGGGAAACATTCTGGCTCACAAACAAGGCCAGGAAGGCTGGAGCCTAGAGTTCCTCTCTCCCACCCGTAAAAAAGGGGCTCCCTTTTTTTACAAAGATAAGCTTTACGGGTGAGCTCCTCTTCATCCTTCAGTACCTTACTCAAATGCTCCCTTGTGGATGCATCCTTGCTGAGGTCTTGGCAGGAAGAAGTAGCTGTACTCTGGGGCCTCAGTCTCAACCCCAGCACCTGCAGTGAGTACTGCATGGCTCTCTCTAGTGGGCATTTTAGAAATTTATTCCTCACCCATACCTCCTCTGCAGTGTATTTATTAAAATGCACCTTATTTCAATAAAATGAGTGAATGTATAAATAATTAGGAAGCCAACTAACAAACAAGTGAACAGAGTCAGGTTTGCTCCAGTATTCTGAGCTCCTGTATTTACTGAACACAGTAGGGTCAGCATGCAGCACCCCAAATTAAACTCCACTGGCGTTAAATTCCAACTCAACCCTACACGGCACAAGTTTTCTCTTTAGCAAACACAATTCACATGCGAGGAAACTTATTATGCACACAAAGCAAGAAAATAGAAAGGCAAAAATTAAATTAGATGGCAGCATGGAAAATGCCCACTGTGCAAAAAAAGCAAGCTAACTAATTTGTTTGGCCTCCCTTGAAAATGGCGAGATTTTAATTTGGGTCTCTGGGACCCGGCTCCTGGGGCACCAGGAGGCTCCTGGGGAGAGGGAAGTGAATATGGTTTCAGATGAGCAGGCCCAGATTCAATTAGTAATCAATTTTGACCCCCACTCACCCCATAGGCATGCGGAGGTAATGAGAAGGGAGGACGGGACTTGACTGTGAGCTCCTTGCTCATGCAGAGGGCCTCTCTCTCCCTCTCAGTCTTGGGACAAATCAATCAACATCACCCAAGAAGGCATGCTCGCCACCACGTGTGAGCTTGTTCCAATTACAGGGAGACAAGAGGGCAGCGGATGCAGTCGGAATTAATTCAGTTCACTGGGAATCAAGATGGCCGCGCCATCTGGTCTAAATTTACCCAGGAATCTGCCTTAGCAGAATGGAGTCCTAGGAATCACAGAGCAGTCTTAAAGTCACTGTGTACCTGGTATTTAACAAGATGCCTTCTCTGGATGTGAATTGATAGATGTTTTTAATAAGGATGGACAAACGGGCCCCAGCTATGTGCTCTTCTCTGCTCTGGGTCATCAAAATGCACCAGAGGCAGCAGGATAGCTCCATCTTTCCTCGAGCCCTGTACCAGCAAACTCAACCTTGTTTTCCACAATCTCCTGAGGGCCACAAAGGGTCCTAAACAGGGACCTGGCAGACGGCCTGGCAGACGGCATGTAGGTGGCTCCATGACCACTAGGTCCAGGGAAGGCAGTGACAGTGAGTCAGCTGGGAGTCCACCAGGCCCTTCAGGTTCCCCTGGGTACCCCAGGGTCTCCATGGAGGGCCCCACACTGGACCTGACCTGGGCAGCATACTCAGACCTCAAGGTGCAGAGGGCATCCACGGCCCAGGAACAGTGAAGCCCAAAGCCTGAGCAGATCCTGCTCCCCTCCAGCCTAGAGCCTGAGACCCCTTGCCCTCCCTTCCCTCCTTCCTTCAGGAGGTCACGTGGGGTTAGGTTTCCTGGCCATGGGCTTTGGGGCAGACTCACCACCTGGTCATGTCCCTGGTATGGTATGCTCATTGTAGACATAGGGAGGGGACTCAGTGATCCCACTGGCACTTATCCCCCTGACCATGTCCCTGATTCACAGACTCTGCTGGACTCTCCGTGGATGTGGGAGACTGGATGTGGGAGACTGATGGACACATTGAACACATCGGACTTACTAAAACAACTCCCCTTGGTGATACTGGCATTCTTATTCCTAAGGCAGCCACCACCACCATGGAACGCTCACGTGCCTCGGGCCCTATCTCTGCACATCCCATTGTTTCTCTGGTGACCTTCACAAGGACCTATACAGCAGGCACTATCATGGTCCCCATGTTGCAGATAGATTGGGGCAGGTGGACAAAGCTGATCAAGTCCAGTTGCTGAGCAAAGTGCTGGGATTTGAACCTGGGGATCCGGATCCCCCTGCAGAGACAGTGGGCTCCAGACCAGAAGCAGAAAACTCAGGCTACAAATCCAGGGTAACTCTGGCAAGTCCTTTGCCCTCCATGTGTTGGACTTGGGACCCTGGGACCACATCTCCTGCAGTCTCCTGCACCACATCCCCAATGGACTGGGGAGCCCAGAGTGTGGGCAGTCTGTGAGCACTGGGGCAAGGCCTATCTGAGATGCCCACACCCACTTCTTTATGCAGGATGCCAAGGACGCAGCTGCCCTAAAGTCCACCCAGTTCTGGGGATGCCACTGGCCAGGAATACCACCCTCCTCAGCCCCTGCTGCAGCGGAGGTTTCTGGACCCATCCCCACCTGCCCAGCACCTGGCCCTTCCCTCCATCTTCTTCCTGAAGCTGCAGGACCTCTGACTACTCTGCCACCCCCACCCCCAAGCTGCAGCTCTAGGGAAACCCCACGGCAACCCAAGTTTACGTCCATTGCTCAGGGCTGCTGGCTTCTCTCCACCCACCAGTTGACATTGTAGACCCCCTAAGGTCTCCCTCTCCTGCACCCTCTCCTGGGCTGGGCTTCCATGGCTGGAACTAAGGCCCCCAAGACACTCTTGAGGGCCTTCACTCCGAGACCACCTGAACTGACACACACAGCTGCTGCCAGTCAGTCCAACAAAAGCCCAATGTCTTCCCAAGGGAGAGGGTCTCTCAGCCTGCTCGAGTCACAGGGGGTCTCTGGGTGGGGCTCTAGCCTGGCTCCAATGTCCATCCATTGCTCAACCTGGCCTTGACTCCTGGCAGGGGTTAACACCCTGGGGCTGTGTGGAGGGTTCTCGGCTGAGGGAGTCCTAGTTTTCATGCTGAACCCCTGGGCCTTGTTAGTCACTAGCAGCCTTGGTGAAGGCTATGTGCTTCCACATGGCCAGGCACACACACCACAGCCTCTCTTCCCAGGGGGACAGGTTCACATCAGTTGTGATAGCATGTGAGTGCCCCCTTCCCTCAAAGACCATTTATGATGATAGTCCCCACTGGTACCTCACAGAAAGGAGATGCCCTTTCTGAATGTCAATTCAGAGTGGATGGAATCATGGTGCATCTCGTTGACAGACTGACTTCTGGAGCATCTTGGAAGAGCGCCTCAACTACAGCAGGGGCTCATTTTTCATGCTCAGAGTCATGCGGGGACAGGACCTTGCGCCTCTATTGACCTGGTACTGACCAGACCCAGAGGGTGAGGAGCCCAGGTCCTGCTGGCCACCTCAGCCAGAATCACATGTGGATAACATAACTAATACCCAGGGGCCCTCCCCGTCCAACAGATGGCCCCCCTACTGCCCTTCTGCTCTCTCAAAGCAACACCAAAAAACTATGGCCTTCACCAGGAAACCCTATCCACAACAAGCAGGGCAGGGAACCCATGCCTAGAGGTCGCAGGTGTTTAACACCTCAAAGAACCCCAGAGACCCCACGCAGTAACAGCCATTTCTCAAGTGCACAAGTCAATGCCACCCATTGGAGCAATTGTGCCCATGTGCCAGCTGAGGATACAACTGTCCGGCTGGAGGCCTGACCCCAGGGATAAGCACTGAGGCCTTGGAGAAACCTTTTGAGACACACCCTCAGTGATGCTGTGCTCAGTCAGCACCCCGAGTTATTGCCTGGGCAGCAGGCTCTTACCGTCCACACAGGCAGGACGGGCTCTCGTGGTGCCAGCAATCTGCCCCTTTCTGCACGCGCAGCGAGCCGTCTGCCGGGCGATTGTCCTCCGAGGCTGGCTGCTGTCCCGGTCCAGGGTCACAATCTCACACGTGCCGGCGGCCAGTTGACCTGATAGAGAGGAGTAAATACTGACTGTGAGGTCACACCCTCCAGACCAGCAAGTAGTTGACCCAGCCCCGTAGCATAGCCAGAGGCCCACGGGAGTCCACCCGCAGCAGGGCCCACAGCATCCAGGACCAGTAGACAGGGAGGCTGCTTTGCTCAGAGGGAACATCTGAAACCACCTCAAAGGATGCCATGAAGAAGTGATTTACGAAAGCCAGAGCTGGGTCAATCTGGCGACCTCCACTCAGTGCAGGGCCTGGTTTTCAGAGACTTTGCCTGGCAGACAGGAAATTAAACGAGGCCCATCTCAGTCACATCCGGAAATGAAAGGACCAGATGGCGAGGAAGGAACTGGCTCCCTCAGCCACACATTCAGGCATCTGTGGAAGGAAACCCGACAGCACAAAGCACAGCACTTTGAAACCAAGCTTAGTCCTTGGTCTCCATCCCCAAAAGCCAGCAGGTCAGCCTGAGGGCGTTGCGTCTTGGAGCTGAGAAGCAGGTAAGACCCTCCCTTGGGTTTGTCAAAGGCTATGCGGAGCAGACCATGTGACCAGGGAGGCATCACTGCCCCTGCTTAGGTGTAGAATTGTGACCAGGTTGGTATTGACTGTGTGCATCAACACCAAGAGGTTTGTAGTTTCCTATGCCCTCCCACAGTGTGGCACACATGCACACACACGTGCACATGCACATAGAAGATTCTCACACAAGCACACACTGCTGCGCCCAAGGCACAAGTGTGGACACACCACACGCTTGGCAAATGGAGTGGACCACACACACACACACACACACACAGAGGTAGCAGCCAGGTGTGAGCACACTAAGGCCATGTGACACAGACTCACCAGTCATACAGGTACATGTGAACACACTTCTACAGGTGTGAACTACAGTTGTGCCCCACATTCTGATCTCCCTCAAGGACAATGTCCTCTATTCCCCATGGCACAGGAAGGAAACTGCATGGGTCTTGGGTGCAGGGTCTGGTTCTGAGCCAGCTCAGGGTGTGGAGAGAGGACATGTTTCTTCTGAGGGTGCAGATGCAAATAGTTTCACTGGTTTCCTTCATTGCCCACTGTCTCCTAAATCCCAAGGAGAAAGCACAGTGAGTGCAATGCCCCTCGGCTGGCCAGCTCAACAGGGGCACCAGATCCCTGGAACCACCAGGAGTTCCTGCTCACTCACTGCTTTGCTCTTTCATTCACTCAGTAAATAGCAAGCACCTACCACATGTCCTCCTCTATGCAGGACCCTGGGACCATGGTGGTAACAGGGAGCATGGTATCCCATGCCCAAGGGATTCCTTCCACTTGGCATCACAGAGATGTCTGGACTGGTGTGTGCTAGCCCACAGGGATCAGCAGTAAGATAGGGAAGGGCTGCTCAGGGAGGCTCAGGACAACAGACTGGCAGGAAGGTGTTACTGAGGAAAGAGGGATAGGTGTAGTCCTTGCAGAAGAAATTATAGGGAATGCTGGGTGCTCCCCAGCAGTCGTTTCTTTAGCCTGGGGTGTCCTTCCTTGTCTATACAGCTCTTTCTACTACAATCACCTCAGATACCTTTTCTTCTAGCAGGCAATGGGTCCTCTCGGCAGCTAACTACACAGAACTATCCCTGCCTTGTCACCTGTGACCTCTGGGTCCCCATCTCAGCCCAACACCCTGGCCAGGACAGGCGCAGCACATGCCGGCAGGGTGCAGTCAGAGGAGGAGCTCAGGTTCACCACCCCAACACCGCTCAGAACACCCTCAAACCTGGGGAGTGCTCTTGTCTGGGTATGACTCAAGAGGTATGAGGGCACCTCCAGGGGGCACCAGACCTGGGTGATCCAGTCCTGCCTGCCCATAGCACAGGACGGGGTTTGGCAAGGAGCTGTCCAAGGTGGCCCCAGGCCCAGCTGAACAGAGCTCAGCACACAGGGAGCTGGCCAGTCATAGCAGGGGAAAGAGGCTTATGTGGGGTGGGTGTCACACAAGCTCAGAGGAAGGATGCAGGGACAGTGGGTAACTGCCCCCACCCCAATCACCCAGACCCTCTCATAATGTGCAAAACCTTAGTCCTGTGGGTAGCAATGCCTCCCCTGAAGATTTCAGGCTGGGAATTTGGTCCCGTGCTACCAAATTACGGGCAAAATTATATATTTCTCTAAGAAAAATGCAAAAATAAACAAGTAAATAAGCAGATAAATAAATACAGCAGGGGAAGAGTATCCGGGTAATGAGTTGATGTTTTTCTTCTGATAACAGTGGTTAGTGCTTCAGAGGCATGACTGAGGGTAGACAAGCGGCTGAGCAGACTCTGAGCACACAGTAAAGATGCTATGATGTACATGGAGCAAGCGCCACTGTAATTCAAGGATGAGTAGTCGCGTGGTCTGTGTCCCCAGCTGCTATTTTAGGCTCTGCAGGTTGGCTCAAGGCTGCTCTGCTATTCTTGGCCATGTTGCCATCCTCATGACCACAGGTCCCTCTCTTTGATCAGCCCCAACAGAGAAGCACAGTGTCCAGGCCACCTCGGGGTCAGTTGCCTCTTCGAGACAGAGCCCAGTTGGGTCAGTTCTCTGGAGTCATCCACCTGGGGTAGCTGGCCTAACCGGGAGATCAAGGAGGTAGTGCTAAGGGTACCACTGAGCCAAAGAAACCCTGGTCACCCTGCCCTGAAGCTGGTCACTAACTCCTGGCCCATCTAAAATAGTAAGTGACAGCTGCTAACCATTCCCAGCTGGCCTCCTTTCTAAGGGAGTGGAGGTGACACACACACACAGAGAGAGCAGAGAGACACCTAGAAGTGCACTGAGAGGGTCCCCAAGTCCCAGTGCACTCCATCCAGGTAGCCCCACAACCAGCGACTATCCACCTAAGACCCTCAGGTGCTGCAATTCGGTTTGATGCCTCATGGATGAGTCAGTGTTGAGGCCTGAAATGACAAGGCTATGCCCCTCATGTCTCTGTCCTGTGCCCACTGAGATGCTTCTTAGAGGAGGTGTCTAGGGCAGTGTACAGGTTTCCTCTGTAACAAAGTGCAACGTGTTCCTTCTCCTTGTGTCTCTTCCCTCTCTCTCTCTCTTCTTTTTTTGGTTAGAGTCTTACTCTGTTGCTCAGGCTGGAGTGCAGTGGCCAGTAGCACGCTCATGGCCACCACAGCCTCAACCTGCTGGGCTCAGGTGATCCTTCCAAGTAGCCGTAACTACAGGCATGCGCCATCACACCCAACTAATTTTTCTTGATCTATTGTAGAGATGATGTCTCACCAAGTTGCCCAGGCTGTTCTCAAACTCATAGGTTCAGGCAGTCCTCTCACCTCAGCCTCCCAAAGTGCTAGGATTATAGGTGTAAACCACTGTGCCCAGCCTCTTCTCTTCTTATAAGAACACCAATCATACAGGAGTAGGGCCCACCCTTGAACCTTCACCTTAACCTGATTACATTAGGAAATATTCTTTTTCCAAAGGAGGTCATGATCCCAGGCACCCGGGCTTAGCACTTGAACACCTTTTTTGGCAACACAACTCAACCCATAACAGATAGAAAATCAAACTTTGTCTGAAAATATGGGAATTCCATGTCTGACATGGAATGAGCCCAGACATTCCATCTGTGGGGTGTATGCCCCACACTATTCTGTCTGCTGGAAATGAAGTGTCCTCAATTTATTACTTTATTGCCAGCTTACAGTACACACAGGATTCAATCTGAGTGACCAGCCCAGCCTGCTCTCAGTCCATCCACGTGGGCATCCCATGGCTTCCCTGCTCATCCCTCTTCCAAGGCCTTAAACCCTTATTTCTCACCTCCATAATTCCTTTTCTGGGTTGGTTTTCTGCAGCCTGGGGCCCTGCACTTCCCCCCACCCCCTCATCCATGGAGCTGTGCTGTGATGGTTCTGCAGGGCTGGGTTGTGACTGCACTTAAGGATGATGATGACAGACTCCTGAAGGGATGACAGGATGGATACCTCCAGCCATACCTGCCTCAGCACTCTGGGCTGAACACTGAGCTGCCCTTGGATTTGGGCATTCTACGCCCTGAAACAACAGTGCCAGCAAACAGCGGGGAAGTCTCCTGAAAAGGCTCAAGGAGGAAGGTGCATGACTCTTGGAAGCACATGGCCAAGTGCAAGTTCAGGGATAAGGGATAGAAAGGTCGATAGGCCTAAACTCAAGGTGTGGAGAAACCCAAAAAACCTGAGGACTCCAGAAGTAGCAACGCTTCCAAGACACTTGGCAGCCAAAGCTAACACCACAGGGTGGATGTTTCCAGCAGATCACAGGACCGAATGAGGAATCAGACACCAAGTGGGCGTGAATGCTCAATGTCATGGAAATGAAGAAAAAGGAGGAGAAAAATCGCCGGATGTGAGCTGCATCTGGGCCTCCAGCCAGGCCTGCCTGTGCATTGTTACTCTGCTCTGGGAGCCAACAACTAAATCTAGACTGTAGACTTACACGACATAGGTAGTAACCTGTTGCTAACCAGTACTTAATTTTTTTTCAGTCAGAGTCTCAGTCTGTTGTACAGCCCACCATAGATTCCATATCCTAGGCTCTGGCAATTTTTCTGCCTCTGCCTCCCAAGTAGCTGGGGCCACAGGTGCGCGCTATCATGCCCAGCTAATTTTTTCATTTATTGTAGAGACAAGTTCTCACTACACTGCCCAGGCTGGTCTTGAATTCCTGAGCTCAAGCAATCCTCCTGTTTCAGCCTCTCAAAGCATTGAAATTACAGGCTTAAGCCACGGCACCTGACCCTAACTAGTACCTTAAATGCAACCAATTGCTTCCAAACTCACTCAGAGAAATCACCATGGATATAACAAACATTCTTGTTCAAGGGGCTTCTCTTGTGCATCCATGTCTGCTGGGGAGCATCAGGTGCCCAGTCAGGAAAGCGCAGCCTCCTCACATGAGACCTCCCAGAGTCTTAGGCCACAACCACAGCCAGATGTCCAGCCGGGCCTTCAGACATCACTCATGTTTCACCGGCTGTTTTAGGGGCAG